ACAACTCTTGTCCTAGTTGCTGCGTTTATCCAGATATTGAATATTTTTCCCATTTGAACAAGTGAATATGCGGGTTTTAGAAAAACAGTATTTCCAACCAAAGTGCAGAATTTACAACATTCTTACCAATTAAGATTAGCTGGTAAGACAATTGAGATTCTAAAAACAGTCCACGTTTCCTGGCGGTTAATTAATCTCCAAAGCTCCACATGTTTTCCTTTGAATAGTGTTGAAGTCCTCCTACTTACCAATTAAGTAGAAGCTGAACACAATCCTCCTGAATGTACAAAAGATCTCCCTCTAGTAGCAGAAGAAAATTTTGACACCGGTGAGAGAAATACTGCGAGCAGAAATCAACTTTCCTATGAATGTCCGAAGCAAGCTACTGCATTAAAAAAAGAGGCGCGTCCGATAATGAATGGCAAACAAAAGTAAGAAAGAGTAACAAGAGCAGACAACCCAAACATCTGCTAAACCGATACTTCCATTCCGAGGTTCTCCTTTCCTTCGCCCCACCGGACATAAGCTAAGATCCTTAGTGTTGGTGGGAAGAAGTCCGTTATTTTTTTTTCACTGTTACGACTCAGAATGCCCGCTGCTTAAAAAAATTTCAAGAAAACTTGAAGGTTCTGAAGGAAGAACTTCTCCGTTATTCCGCGTCGTTCTCCCAAAATGTGGGGGGGAACGTTACGAAGTGTTCCGTCGAAAGTCCCTCCCGCTCTAGTTGCTGTTGGAACTTGAAGTGGAAGCTCCTCCAGAGTCAAAGGGGTTGAAAGTGATGAGGCCAGCCGTGTCCTCCTCCTCCCCCACACCTGCTGGCCTCTCGGGGTACAGGGGGTCCTCACCCGCCGTCAAACTTCTGCCTCATTTCTGAAAAGATGCATGAACAAAAATGTAAGAACAGTGAGATAAATTATTGCTTAAAACATGACAGAAGTTTTTTGTTGCTTGATAGGTGTTCAGACCTACTGTTTATCCCTCAGGGGCTGCTCGATATGGGCAAAAATCATAATCTCGATATTTGGGTTCCAATAATTGTATTGGGCGATTATTAAAATGTGATTATTCCATTGACTTTGGAAACATCCATTTATTGGAGAAAAAAAATTGACAGTAATGTTTTTTTTAAAACAGTTGATTACCCTGAACTTTAAGTAAAAAACAGACAAAAATAAAAATAATAAATAATAATATTTTAAAAAATATTTATTTCGATTACCGGTAATTTTCGGACCTATAAGCCGCGCCTTTCCCCATTTTTTCCGACGCTGGCGCTATATAACGGTGCGGCTGATCTTATGGATTTTACAGGTAACGGCACCACCTTTAACTCTATGGCAGGGTGTCAAACTCAAGGCCGGGGGCCCAAAAATCCGGCCCGCGACTTCATTTAATTTCCCCTCAAGAGCTTGCCAAAGAATTATAAATATTTTAATATACGTTACCAGCCGATTTTAAAGAGCACGTTGCCCAAAACTAACAATGTCCCCACAATGCATCTCCTCAAATTTTGACTTTTTTCTCACAGAATTGCCCCTTTTTTCTCAGAATAATTTTTTCTCAGAATTTGACTTATTTTCCTCCAAAATATTCATTTTTTCTGAGAAAAGGCAAATTCTAAGAAAAAATGAATATTTGGAGAAAATAAGTCAATTCCCTGAGAAAAAACTATTCTGAGAAAAAAGGGCCAAATTCTGAGAAAAGTCAAATTTGAGAATGCATTGTGGGACATGTAGTTTATGGTCAAACGTGCTTCTTTAAATTCAGGCATGTAAACGCGTTAAATAAACATATTATATTCTTTGCAAAGCTCTTGAGGAATTAAATGTAGTCGCGGCCGGATTGGCCCCGGGCCTTGAGTTTGACACCCCTGCATAAGTTAAAGGTGCCCGTTACCTGTAAAATCCATAGATAGCCGCACCGTTATATAAGCGCAGCGTCGAAAATGGGGGGGAAAAGGCGCGGCTTATAAGTCCGAAATTACGGGTAATCCGAATAAAATGATTTTTAAATATATTATTATTTATTTTTATTTTTGTTCTTGTTTTTTTACTTAAAGTTCAGGTAATTCACCTGTTAAAAAACATACTGTTCGACCATTTTTTTCCCTCCAATAAATGGATGTTTCCAAAAGTCAATGAATAATCAACATTTAATAATCGCAATTACAATTATTGACCCAAATAATCAAGATTATGATTTTTGCCATAATCGAGCAGCCCTAGGATAAACCAGTAGTCTGAACACCATTATCCAGCAACAAAAACTCTGTCATGTTAAGCAATAATTTATCTTCAACTGTCTTACATTTTTGTCATGCATCCTTTTCCAGAAATGAGGCAGAAGTTTGACGCGGGTGAGGACCCCCTGGACCCCGAGAGCCAGCAGGGTGGGGGAGGAGGAGGACACGGCTGGCCTCATCACTTCAACCCCTTTGACTCTGGAGGCAGCTTCCACTTCAAGTTCCAACACAACTAGAGCGGAGGACTTCACGAACACTTCGAAGTCCCCCACATTTTTGGGAGGAACGACGGCGGAATAACGGAGAAGTCTTCCTCAGAACTTCAAGTTTTCTTGAAATTTTTAACGCAGCGGATTCTTGAGTCGTACAGTGAAAAAAAAATAAACGGACTTCTTCCCACCAACACTAAGGATCTAGCTTAATGTCGCGGTGGGTGAAGGAAAGGAGATCCTCGTGAATGGAAGTATGGTTTAGCAGATGTTTGGGTTGTCTGCTCTTGTTACTCATTTCTTACTTTGTGCCATTCTTTTATCGACGGCCTCTTTTTTTAATGCAGTAGCTGCTCGGACATTTCATAGGAAGTTGATTTCTGCTCGCAGTATTCTCTCACCGTGTCAAATCTTCTCTGTACTAGAGAAGATCTTTTGTACATCAGGAGGATTGTGTTCAGCTTCTACATTAATGGTAAGTAGGAGGGACTTCAACACTATCAAAGGAAACATGTGGAAGCTTTGGAGATTAATTTAACGCCAGAACGTGACTGTTTTTGAGTTCATTTGTTCTTACCAGCTATCTAATTGGAAGAATGTGTAAATTCTGCACTTGGTTGGAAATACTGTATTCTAAAACCCGCATATTCACTTGTTCAAATGGGAAAATATTCAATATTCTGGATAAAAACGCAGCAACTAGGACAAGAGTTGTAGTATTTTGCTCGTTCCTTTATCCCTCATTTCCAAGCACCCCTTTTGCACTTTTTGTTTGAAAACCACTCCACTTCTCCTCCACTCCTGACATGTCACTGCAGGACTTTTCTTTGAAGCCTTTAATAGACTCCTCACAATATCCGAGAGCCTCATTTACAAAAAGATAATACAGAAGAATGCACATTTAAAATGTTATCATAACCAGTATGTTTAGATAATTTGTCTAACAGGATGCATTGCGACACGATTTGCAAACTTAAGCATTAAGTTACAGATCAAATCAAGAGTGCTTCAACCCATATACTAAGGTGACTTTCTTTTATTGTTATTTTGACAATAACAGCTTGAAGATACAGCGACTGTAACGGCTCTCATGCCTCCTGCTCGCCTGGGAACTGAATGCGAGCGGCCCTTTGTATTTAAAATGACTGAGTGGGAAGTTTTTTGTTTCTGGGATTTCTTTTTAGGGGTTTTGCGATAAGTGGCATCAATTTGACTCTTGCCAAACTGAATCAGCTGACATGCTCAAGCTATTAAAATATTGAAACAATCCAAGTTTGTCCTGATGTCATGGTGTGTACATGTATTGTAATGACAGCCACAGAACAGCGCCCCCTGCTGCTACTACTGGTTTGTTTGGGATGTAGGATGGATGTTTGTCCTCAGATATTTGACCTAAAGTCCTACAGTTGGTTACTGCATAATGCTTATTACATTTCAAATCCAAATTCCCTGCATTTTGTAATAACCACTGAAATAAGTTACATTTCAATGCAGCATTATTATTTAATGTGTTAAAACATGCCCTCCTTTTACATCACATTTACTAACGCCTTCGGGTAAAAAAGTGATCCAGATTCATCGTTTTTTTTCATTCTTATTTTATCATTGCGCTTACATAACCACAATTCTTGTTACTTCATTTATTTCTAACTCCAACCCCTTTTTAAAAAAATGTAGCGACCAACAAACTTTCTATCTGTTGAAAACAATTGAACACAAAGTCTCAAATACAGCCATGTATTTTAAAACATCACAAATGTTTACACAAGATTTCCACACACACCAAGTAGCTGCTGTTTGCCAACACCTACTCACACACAGGCTGGATTGTACAGCCATTGCTGCGAGCATAGCGGAAACGGCTAAATCCAGAGTATGGACACAGGAGTTCTGCATCAGTAAAGGTGAAGGGATAAAATCCTCATACAAAAGAAGTCCATTCTCCTTTTGCTGGTTCTCAGAGAGACAGTCACATCCAAACAGGAAAGCGTTTCATCAATGGCTCGCTCCAAATCCTGGTACATCTTCCAAACTGTCTGCCTCCACCTCGATGGAGACCACATGGTGACCGGGGATCATGGCCAGGCCCAGGACCCGGGGCTCGCCTTGGGAGAACGTGTCTGAAGACAAAAAAATAAGGAAATCAAGTAAACATCAACCAGTTTGCATCAAAATGAAACATGTGGACTAAACTTTAGTTAGAAAATCCACAATATCATATTTTAAAGATCTGTCTTGTGAATCGAGCTTCACTTCAGATCTGAATTTCAAAAAGGATTGTGTGAGAAAAAAAGTACCACACAAATATTGCCATTAAACTTTCTTTATTTGGACATCTATAATGAAGTAATTTTAAAATGTCCCTTAGATCTTTTGAGTTTTCATTATACATTTTGGCATTTTTTATTTCATGTTTCTCTTCGCGAAGCTCTTTGTTTTGAAAAGTGCTCTATACAAAAAAAGTGTATTCAATTATGCAAGTGCTCATTAAAGGGCACTTCATGCTGTCTGATCAGCATGAATCAGGTTGAGGATGACACCCCGATGTCAGTGTTTCCTGCAGAACGGATTGGGTTTGTTAATGTGTTGATCAGTGTTCACCTACCTGAGGATTTGAGGAACTCCTGAGCAGATCCAAGGATCACGTTGCAGTCTCGGTCCGTGCAGAGGAAGAGCCCGACCAGAGTCCGCCCGTCCGTCATTCGAATCTTCATGTTCTTGTTCAGGAGCCCCTCTAGTTTCTGCCGGGCCTGGTACGAAGGGGACACCTGATACTGCTCCTGGGTGAGAGGGGAAAGGTAAGAGATTTAACTAACACTGGATCTAATGGTGGAATAATCTCCGTATACTTGTATTAGTTAGCTGTTAAACAAACATGTTTTATTGTTATGTCAAAATCTAATGTGGTATTTACAGTGAATCGTTTTACTAGTAAATGCATTCAGGGAACTGCATAACGGCTTGGCATTTTAGATAGATACTATATATGCTAAATGTAGTGTTATGTATCTAAATATAATCTGCTATAGGCTAATGTTACATCGTTTTCACAGCTGACAGCTAGTTTATTCGTTAGCTACCGGCTAACTTAAACTGCAACTGAAGCCTTGATTACCATTCAATGTGTTTAAAAAAAATAGTTTTCTCTTCGACACGTCAAACAGCGTGAACAATCATGTCAAATACTAAATGAAAAACAGAAATAAAAAACACATACATGAGTCGAAGGACCGTTTTCCTCAATCATTGTTGCCATAATCTCTTCTTCTTTTCTTACGGAGTGATTTCTCTGACGGACCAGCCAAACCGGAAGCTGAATATCCGGTGTTTTCTTCTTAAAGGGGACGTTACCATCAAACTAGTGATGGAGTAAAACATTATAAAACATTCCGGTTTAGCAGTAAAATGTAAAATTAAGTGAGCCATTACATCCGTAGTTTATTAAAGTTGGAAGAAGAGGCAAAAAACAACGGAAAGGAGCTCTAAATGTAAGAATTCATTGCTAAAGTTGATACATTTCCACACCTGACCGTTAGCTATAATTAGACCAATTTGTTTGCTTTGAACTAACGTTTGGAAGTGACGCCAAGTCTGCTGTAATTACCGGGAGATCATAGTATTTTGAAGCAAGACTGTTGGCTATTTGGTCACATTTGAGCCAAAAATATGTCATTTAGGTACTTGTCTGTGACTGAAAGTGTGTCTATTTCTATTCAACTTTAAACTGTTGGTTTAAAAATGGCCTAGCCTTTTTGTATCACTTGTTTTATTCAAGTCAGCTAGTTTATTAAGTAACTACAACCCACATTTTAAAGGTTGAAGCTTGGATTACAACACACACAATGGGTGTGAAGTACAGTGATAATGGTCTAGAATTAAGCAAGTCAAATTACATTGAGAACACACATCTGGTTGGATTTTAAAGACATACCTTTCAATGATAAAACCATTCAAATAAAACAATATGTTATGGTCTTCCCTGACTGTTTCATACAAGGTAAACCTGTCAAATGTGAAGCTGTTATTTTTGTTTGTGTGACTAAACATAATTATTTCAAATATAACTGTTTCTGGATGAAGAGCAAATCCAAATAAATCCTGTGTTCCTCCTGAGGAAATTTGTATGCACTAACTTACGTTTCAAACGATTACACAGACCATAAACACAATCATCCCTGGGCTTTGAAGTAAAGATAAAACAAGTTAAGACAAGATATGATAACACGAGACATAATGACTTGGTCCCAGAAAATATAGGTTAGATAAGATACAAGTCATTATCGTATACACAAATTATTATCAGTAGGACAAAATAATCAATGAATATGTGTGAAAAGCTACATGGCCAATAGTGTTTGGGATCCTGTGGAGGAGGCGTTTTGATACGAATCAACAATGACATCACAATGTGACTGCTGGAGGTGTGTAGAAAATGCTGTATTACATCCTTTTATTTGGGTTGACACACAGTAATCATCCAAAATTGAAAGTGGTTTAAAATCTTTAGCTCATGACCCATTGACACGAAGCAATCTTTACTTGACATCAATTGTCCGAGGTCTGCTTTTAATGACCAGTTCAAACAAAGATTATTGTGAAGCAGAATGTTTTAGTTTCCTGATAATACTTTCACAACCCTTATCTTGAGACATATCTCCTCGTACATCTATCCCTCCCATCGCCTTTAGGGATTTTCTTCAAATCAAGCACACATGGCCCCATGGACTCCAAGATTAACTGATTAGATGTTGAGGGTCAACGGTCAAGGACACATTGACCTCCAATCCGTACCATCCTCCTTAGCATTATATCTCAGGAATGCCGGAGGTAATTTCATCAGATTCAAACATCCTCACGTTTTTGATAAATGAACTGATTATAATTTGGGGCCGAAGGTTAAGTTCACTGTAACCTCACATTACCGAATTATGGGCTATTAATCAAATATGAATATGCTAATTGAGAGAAGTTATAGGCACTTTCCCCTTTTGCCACCCTCGCTCAGACTAATCTCATTGGGCAAAATGAGTCGTCATTATAATTTATTAAGTGCTCATTCAAGACTAAACCCAAAGAGAGTAGACCATACTTTCACTTAAAGCTCTACCTTGGGATATGTAAAGCCATCTTCTTCCCTCTCCAGCCCCCGCTGCCAGCCCGTTATCAAAGCATTATCTGATCTCCGGGTCGCCTCAGTTCACAGCTCAGCTCTGAATGGAGCTCAGGAGCCTGTGTCTTCCTCTGTGTGTCACACTGCATAAAATCTGGGTTAGCTACAGCGCCGCTCCCAGGGGAGGCGCTTTCCCCTCTCATCCTCGACATGTCTCCCTGCCAAACGGACATGGGGAGGGGAGGGGAGGGGTGGCGGGGTGGCCACAGCACAGTAGTGCAGTGTGTCAGGGCCTGTAGCATATGAGAGAGACTTGGGGATTTGTACTCTTTTTTTAATGCAAAGTCAGGGCTAAAAGTGCACATCACATCCCCACAGAAATACACACATATCACCAGTCCCCTAATGTGATATCTTGGATTGCTCCGTGTCTCACTTGGCAGATGTAGCACTTGGATCATACTCTAACAAATTCCTCCCTTGTCATCTGTGGGAGCGGTTCAGCCACCTGTTGCAGACAGTGAAGTGTGCTCAGCAGACGAGTCATTCAAATGCTTGTTTACATGATATCCAGTTTTTGGTTTGAAATGCCAAGGCTGAGACAGTTACATACAAACCGAATTCGGAAGATAAAAAAAAAAAAAAAACGAAGCTTTACACATTATTGTGTTGGATTTAGTTTCTGTATTATGCTGGAAATGCAGAAAACATTTTTTTAATTTTTTTTATTAAAAGTAGAAATTAAAGTAATGATACTCTCACTCCTGACATTAAAACACATTTGCATATTTTAATTATGGGTACAAATTTAGCAGTTGAGTTATTTTACGTGTTATTTGGGTGTTGAATGGTTTCATTTAAGGGTTTCATTCATGTTTTATTCAACACTAAAGTAGTGCCAGCTTGCAAAAGCATTAAAAGTGCATAAATATGTAAAACATTTAAACACAGAACAGAAGTTACATTTTTAATTAAGTTAAGGCACGTTTAGTCACTCGTTAAGTACGGCCAGCTGTGTCTAATTACCTGATAATTGATTTATAGAGTAACATTATGAATATGCTATGTAGTAGGCCTACACATGTATTGTAAGTTATACGTTAAAAAAGACTAATATAGTTGCAAAGAATTCTACATTTTTAATAACATAATATAACAACCATACTTTTTATGCAGTGACAGAAAATTAGCCTCTGAATGATCGTAGGGGTTTCACTTTAAATGTGCGAATTATTATCAATAATTTAAGATTTTCTGTTTTATGGAGACACTGAATGGATCCCTTGCTGCTGCTTCTTGACAGCACAGGTGTTAACAATATCATGAACAAGTGTCCCATGACAGTGTGACAGTGAGGGGTGTGCACATCATCATGACCCTGAAACTGAAGCAGCATAATGAAATCAACCCGTCATTTATTCATTTGATATTTTATTCCCTACTGTGACATGTCAAATTGTGTTAAATAAAAAAGGCTATTCAACAGTAACATTATTAAACTAAGGTCCCATTACTGGCTTTTTCAGACTAATCTCCTTGTGTGCTTTTAATGCTGTTACAGAATCTGAAGCTACTCATAAATTGATGTTTTGTTAGGATTTTTTGTTATCCAAGGTCAAGAATTAACTAAGAATTAACAACAAAATTGCCTAAAGTGCTGAGATATGTATGTGATTCGTGTGATTTAAGGCCGTACATTCAGTCGTTTCTCCGGAGAATAATTGCATTAAACTAAATGAACTAACATTAAACACAATGAAATCAAGGCCTATTCAGTTCCTTTTCCCTATTTTATCTGGCACACTTTCTCCAGCATGACCTCGATTTTCGGTTGTGAGGTTTTAAATATGAAAGGCGAATCAAAATGTATTTTGTCAAAACAATAGTGCCCCGAGCAGCCGCTGAGGGCTGGCTTGGGTTGAGGGATTCCCATGGCCTTATTGCCATCCAGCTGCATTCTGCCTTCCACATTTTACAGTAAGAGTTCACTAAATCTCTCATGTTGCTTTCAAACCACTGTATCAGACATGGAGAATGGACATGAGCTGGTTATTATGATGCTTGATAAAGGGGGGGCTGCAGTTTGCATACTGTGAATTGTTTCCATCCCCACCACAAGTAGTTAATTTTTAAGCAATACAATCTGATGTAAGTCTGGGCATGGCTGCGGCAGATTTTCCCAACCCCCCTCTCTCAATCCCTCCCCAGCACTCTCACTCACACACACACACACACACACACACACACACACACACACACACACACACACACACACACACACACACACACACACACACACACACCCCTGCTCCAAAATAAATGTTATACAACGGTGGGGGCTCCGGTGAATATAAGGTGGCCATATTTGATAGATTAGTGTCGGGCTCTGCAATGCAGGGAGACATAGTGGTGTTTGTGATCTTGACAGTGACACCAGGCAAGTGTGTCGGATTCGTGACTGATCCGGACTTGGAGAAAAATAGGAAAGAGGGAAGGGGGGGGGCAACAGCAAAGACACAAACAAGAAACAATGTAACTTACATGCAGCCACACACCCCTTTCTCTTGTAACAATGTGTACGTTTTTAAGGAGGGAGGGGGTGCGCAGAGGGAGAAAGAGAGAGGGAGAGAGAAAGGAGGAGGGGGGTGCGTTCTGAAATAATATAGTCAGCCATTTTTTATGTAAGGGGATTTTTTTTCTTATTGGGGGGGTTGTTAAAAAATAAATATAAGAGGGGCGGCCATCTTTGTTGCTCTGCTCTGGTGTAAAATATTTCAAAACGCCCCCCTACTTTTTTTTTCCCTGTGCCGATTTGAATATTAAATAAATATCACACATTCGGGGGCAAGAAAACGCTTTTTTTGAGGACGCAACCAATGACAGGGATATAATGTCCTCTCCTCTCCGGTCCTGTGAGGAAGACGAGGGCATGGTGGTTAATTCCGAGGGAGGAGATTTTGATGAAGAAGACGACGAAGGAGACCCAGACGCAAGCGACATAAACTCGCCGGCGGCGCCAAGGGAAACTGCAACACCAGCCGCGCCAGGTACAGTAAAGAAAACTGGCTCGGGAGCGCGCAAACCAAATAAAAAACACACTTACAAAGCAGTGACATTTGGCAGAAAAGGGCAGTGGAAGAAGTCCGCAGTTTGTGGTTCCCCATATCTGCTTCTCCGGGTCCACTATGTGGTACAGTGAGAGAACCAGCGAGGAGGACACGGGGGCGCGCATTCAAAATTAAAACATA